CTCCATAAAGAAAGCCACAGGTTTGAGTTCACAAGAGCTGAACAGGGCAGCTGAGGACAGGAATTTTGGAGATTGCTCATTCATGGGGTCACCATCAGTCAGAGGTGACCTGATGGCACATAACAACAACAACAAGAATAACAAGAACAACAACAACAGGAAAATGGTTTTCTTTGTCTCATCTCTGTCTCTGTTGACTGGAGATGTTTCCACAAAATACTGTACTATAAAGGGCGTTGTTTGTTTGTTTGTTTGTTTGTTTGTTTGTTTGTTTGTTTGTTTGTTTGTTTGTTTGTTTGTTTGTTTGTTTGTTTGTTTGTTTGTTTGTTTGTTTGTTTGTTTGTTTGTTTGTTTGTTTGTTTGTTTGTTTGTTTGTTTGTTTGTTTGTTTGTTTGTTTGTTTGTTTGTTTGTTTGTTTGTTTGTTTGTTTGTTTGTTTGTTTGTTTGTTTGTTTGTTTGTTTGTTTGTTTGTTTGTTTGTTTGTTTGTTTGTTTGTTTGTTTGTTTGTTTGTTTGTTTGTTTGTTTGTTTGTTTGTTTGTTTAATATCCTGCCTATCTGGTCGGGTCTGGACCACTCTTTATTGTAGGGTTGCACGTGGACATATTTTGTTGCCGTTTCATTATGTTGGATTTTTGTAAGGAGTTTATGACCTGATTCTGATGTGAGTTCAAATGTCTGAAATCTCAGTGATCATGCTGTCCACTGATTTTCACTGGGAAACAGGAATGACTTATTTTTCTTTTTCACCTGCAAATCTGTGCTGAATCTTTGCAATAAATAATTGTTTTAACCTATTATAAATTTATACAAATATGAACAAGGTGTGGTACAATAAAGGGTCTTTATTAAAAGACAGTATATTACAAGGGTATTGTAAAGCAAACATCTAAGCTTCAGGGGTATTAGAAACATATGCAATACAGGATAGCTTTGCAAGCTCTATAGGTAGAAGCACATGTCCTCAGAAGCCCGAGCCTTCTCTGGTGGGTGAGGAGGAAACAATGTTGTCTGCTGCTTTCAGGGCAGTTCTGTTTGGCCCATGTCCACAATCACACTCAAGTCCATCATCCTTCTCATCACCACACTTTGGGGTGCAGGCCGGATTTCTTGTGCTTTTCGGTTTCTGTTTTGGCTTTGCGGTAAATACAAATAGGTCTTCTGCATACCTGCATTTTCTTCTTAGATTTTCTGTCTTCAGGCAGCCTCTCCCTGAGACGTGGAGGGGGTCCTAAGGGGCACAGGGGCATGGAAAACCCCACGAGCCCCTGGTCATAACCTTTGGGGCACAAGCGACTTTTGGCTTTCACATGGTCCTTTTGGCTTGTCCCGGGGATCAGGTTTTCCTTGTCCTCCATCATCTCCAAACCACACCGGTCTCTGCAAAGAGCAGCAAGCACACACAGAAGGGCCTCAAAATCACCGCTGTGGCGTTTGAGCAACCGCTAACTTCTCTACGGAGACGCATTCCTGACATGATGGAAGGACTGGCATAACTCATAAAACCTACAGATACATATGCCTTTCTTCTCATCCACCTGGGAAAAAATAACACAGTCAAGAGAAGCTATGAAAAATTATGTCGGACTTTGGGGCCCAGACAGTTTTTTTGTCCATCCTACCAATAGAAGAGGAATAAAAAGTGAAAGAAATATAGTTCAAATGAATCACTGGCATTGTGAGGGATTTGGTTTTTAGGACCACAGGCTAAGCTTTCTGGAAGATATGCTGCTGATAAGTGATAGTTATGGTTTCTCCCTCACAAGAGCTGGGAAGAATGTGTTTGGCCACAGCATGAAGAACTACATCAGGATGGCTTTAAACTGAATTGGAAGGGAAAGTGAGACCCAAGCTCAGAGGTAAAGACAGATGAAGGTGTATGTACAAAAAGAGGAACAGATCGAGCACCTCTGATGGGGCCCAATAATAACCTTGAAAGTATGTAGGAAATAAAGCAGGCTGCAAATCACACAATCTCCAGTGTTTAGTATGCAGTTCAGGAGGGTAAATATGACTTGATAACTCGGTGGATGATTCTCATGACTGGAACACAGTAACTGAAGGATATAAATTGTTAGAAAAGAATTGGAAGAATAGAAAGGAAGGTGGAATAATACTATTTGTAAAAAAATACATATTCCTGCATAGAAATACTGGTGGATGAGTATCTGGATCAATATAACTGGGACAAAAACCAAAATGAACATGGTAGTTGGAGTCTACTACTCACTGCCCAATCAAGAAGATGCAGATGAAATTTTTGAAAAACAAATTGCAAGAATTTCAAAGAAATACAATGTACTAGTAATTGGAGAATTCAGTTATCTTGATATCTGTTGGGAGACAAATTCTGCCAAATATGGACCTTCCAAGAAATTCCTGACTTGTGTGGCTCATAATTTTTCCTACAAAAACTGAAGAAAGAAACCAGAGGAGTAGCAATCCTTGACTTGAACCTAACCAATAGAGATGCCTTGGTGGAAGACGTGGCAGCAAGAGGAACTCTGAGTGATAGTGGCTATGTTCTACTTGAATTCTTAATGTCAACATGATACAAAAGCAGAGTGTAGCCACACATATATTCAAGACTTTAGGAAAACCAATTTTAATAAACTCAGATCAATAACAGCTAAGTCCCATGGCATGAAATCCTAACATGACAAGGAGTCAAAGATGGGTGGGGGTTTCTAAAAAAGGAAATTCTAAAGACAAAAATACAAACAATTCTAACATCAGAGAGAGAGAGAGAGAGAGAGAGAGAGAGCAATATGTCTACAGAGAAAGCCCAGAGAGGAAATGAAAACCTTTAAAAAGAGAGATATAAATGCTAAAGGAAGTGGAAGGAAGGCCAGGCTACAAAGGAAAAGTACAGTTAAGTAGCAAACAATTGCAGAGATGGCATTAGGAAGGCAAAAGCTGAGAATGAGCTAAACAGATGCTAAGAGTCGACATGGGAACGAATATAAAAACGAATCAGGATATTTGTTAAATATCCCTGATTCGTCAGATATTTGTTGCTTTGTATTCTTGGGGGTCCAAAGACCCCAATGAATACGAAGCAATTAATATAACCCTTTTATATTTGTTCCTTCGTTCCCTATCAGCTTATGCCCCCACGGATCAGTTGTTCCTTGGGGGCATAAGCAGAGAGCGGTTTGTTTCCCCTTTGGGTGGCTTGCTAAAGCCTGCCCAAAGGGAATCCAACCCCCGGGGTTGGGGGATGGCTTGGTTCCCCTTTCCTCCTCTTCCTATGCCTCAAGAGGAGGGAAGGGATCAAAGAGGGATCAAAGGAATCTTCCAGCTGCTGTGGGATCACTTTGATCTGTGCTTTCCCTCCTCTTGCTATGCCCTGCGGGGCTTAGCAAGAAAAGGGAAAAAGGGGTCAAAGCAATCTTGCAGCTGCGGGTGCAGGATAGCTTTGATCCCTGCTTTCTAAGCCCCATAGGATTGCTTTGATCCCTGCTTTCCCTCTCCTTGCATAGCAAAAGACAGAGAAAAGAAACTGGCTCACCTACTCAATGGGGATGAGAAAATTATAACAGATAGCAAAGAAAAGGCAGAAGTGCTCAATTTGTACTTGTTCTCCTGAAAGACACTCTATACTCCTCCAGGCAAATGTGACGTATAAAGGGAGGGAATAGGATTGCAGCTTGAGATTGATAAACAGTCAAGGAGTATCTTGCTACTTTAAATAAATTCCAGTCCCCAGGCTGGATGCACTGCATCCAAGGATATTGAAGGAACTTGCTGAAGAGATCACAGAACCACTGTCTCTTATTTTCTTGAAATCGTGGAGGATGGGTGAAGTACCAGATGACTAGAGGACAGCTAAGGTGGTCCGAATCTTCAAAAAGGGCAAAAAGGAGTAACTAGGGAACTACTGACTGGTCAGCCTCACATCAATGCCATGGAAAATTCTCGATCAGATTATAAAGCAGCCACTCTCCAAGCACCTTGGAAAAAATGCAGTAAATACTAGAAGCCAACATGGATTTGTCAAGAACAAATCCTGCCAGACTAATCTGATCTCATTTTTTGATCAAGTAACCTCCCTGATAGAGAACATGCTAGAGATATAATATATCTTGACTTCAGCGAAGCCTTTCACAAAGTGCCTCATGATATTCTGATTCATAATGGGAGTTTTCCATGACAGATCACAAGAATTTTTTTAAATGTGGACTAAAGTAACTTCTGGAGACTCTCCAGAATTAGGGGACTTAAAACTTAAGCTTCATTAGTTTCATAGCAGATCCACCACTGTTTAAAATAGTAAACATCTGTGTCAGTGTATACATTATGGCTACATTATTCCACACAGTGAGCATGCAAGTTCAAATATTTAGAATCAGAGACTTACATTCAATCACACAACATTTTAAAACAGTATTTGATTTACAGTTTGATTTCATGCATGCCAACTTGAAAGTATGTCCACTTTGTTGAACAGGAACAACAAAACCCAACAGAATTATTACAGCTTCTGCCAATGTACTGGGATGAAATAGTATCCAGAACTTCAGATGTATATATCCATCATATGCATTTGATTCAATATCTGAAATTCTGGGTAGTACTTCGGACATATGATGATTTTCAATATTATCCACAAAAAATTCAAACTATAATACTTGTCTTTAAAGTCTTCAAAGAGCCACAGTACTCTTTGTTATTTTTTTTCTGCAACAGGTCCTTTGGAAATGAGTTTATGCTTCTTCATTAATAGCTATAGAACTTCAGTTTTAATATCCTTACTAAGAAGACAAAGAAGAAAAAATATTTTATGAACATAACTGTGAATTAACATTGAAATGAACAATACAATCTCAAATTGCTGCACTCAAGTGACAGATACTATAGACCAGTGAGTGAAAATCTGCAAATCCAGAGATGCCTTTGATCCCCTTTACAATTTATTGCTAATATTACAATTTTTTTGCAAAATGTAATTGTCCTTTTGTAGATATTTGAGTAACTATAAAATGGGAGGGAAAAGGGAGGGAAGGCAGTTAATAAAAGAAAAACATTGTACTTAACTGAGTGGTAAATATACATATAAAGCTTGACACTTTTTGAATAAAGACAACATATATTGCAATGCATTTAAAATATTTTTTTAAAGTATACATCAAGAAATTGCATAGAACATGTTTCACAGCAGGAAAAGTTCATTGTCTGCAAAATTCACTGGTAATATTTGGAAGAGGGTAAGCAAACAAAGAGAAATCTAGGATGTACTTTGGTATCAGCTCTTTAATGAGCCCCCTAGGAGTGTTACACAGATAATAATTCAAAGTTTCAGTAGTCACTGGCTTATACCATGCTTGTCGTTCTGGGAATCGAATAAAAGAGGGTGTCTGAACCCTTTCAAGGACATAATTAGCATCTTCATGCAATCTTTCATAGGAACCAATGAAATTGTATGTCACAGCACAAGGCTGGCACAAATTGTATATGGGCATCCAGTGTTCATTCATTCTCTCTACTTCTTCATCTAAAAGGTATTGAAGGAATTCAGAGAATGTGACATCATCGCCCAGGGTTTTCCCAGGGTTCTTCCTATACCTTTTGACAATTTCCACACCATACTTTAACTGATATTCTTTGATCTCTCCAAATTTATTCCGATAAGCAGATAAAAGTCTTTCCATTGGGTCCCTTACAAATATGAACTTGAAATAGTGCTTCAGTCTGTAATGGATCTCATCTGGTTTCATATCACTTAGGAAAACCAAGTCCTTTTTGTGATCCATTTTAAACTTCACATCAACATTCTCCAGTACACCATTTAAAACTTTAAGAATTCGTTTCCAGTTGGAGCAAGCAACTTTGGGGACATAACAGTACAAAAATTGGTATTTGTCACTAACCAAAATGTGTTTGAGAAGTGTTCTCCTATGTCCCACGGAGAGGTCCCAGATACTGTGTGGCATATTTTTTTGCCTGCACATGGTATAAATGGTCCTATTACGGATATCCTGCAGTACCTGATAACCCACATCCTCCGTTGCTGATGTTGCCCTGCCACTGCCAATTCTCCTCCAGGGTGTCAGCTGTCCACGGGAGGGATGCAATGGCAAAGGCTTTACCTCTGCCAAAATCCCCTTCTCGATCATGAGGAGTAGGCCACTGGAGGCCACAATCACACCAAACATCAACATAGAAGGCAACACAATGGTACCACTGGTGCCACGAAAGCGGGTTCTGCCAGATACTGTGGCTCGCCTTGCAGAAGTGGTCCCCATCTCTTTGCCTCTTCCTACAATAGGCATGAGGGGATGTAAAAACATTACCTGGGTGTTGGTGCGCAGTGACAGCACAAGTTCAAAGGTAAAAGAGAAAGTTCTGACAGGTGGGAGGTGCAAGGCCCTGGTTGTACCTCAGGAGGATCCTTGTCTGTAACTCCCTGGATCAATCTCGGCCAGCAGCGCTACATTTTTCTGAAAAGCAAAGATAAGAGGCCGAAGTCTCACAAGTTACTTTCCCTGTGACAGTATCAGCTGCTTCTCTGTTCTCGAGCTTCCTCTGCGTCTATAGGGCAGCTGCGGGAAGGGACCGGATGCCACTCCTTCCCGGGACTCGAGAAAGTCAGCTGTCCGGCAGTGACGGCTTTGCTGGGAGGGCTTACCCGGGCAAGGAGACGTCGCTGTAGCGGTTGCGTGTGACTGTGTACTGAACACGAGGTCTCTTGTCCACCCGAGGAAGCACGGGTTTGGAGCTGAAAAGACCCTTGGAATAAACAAGGTGGATCTGTTCGACTTTTTAGAAGTTAGTGGGCCTCAACAGAGATTTTGCTAAGGAATAAGATGATTTTTCGCAGCCCAATCTGCTACGTACAGGGCTAGTTCCAAGGTACGAGGCCTGCTTGGCAATATGCTTTGTAAGCCGGGAGGGCGGTCCGCTGATCCTTAGGACGTGACGTGAGAAAGAAAGCGGGGTTGGGGGCGAAAGGAAGCGGTGGATAAGAAAGGCCGTCCCCCACTCCCCAAGGATGAAACTCCACGTAGATGTTTAGGGCTTGCGGCCTGTGCCCATCCTTTTTCTTCGCCGTTTTACGCAGCGAGAGCCAGTGTCTGTCCACGCAGTGTCCGGGGCGGGGATGCTGGAGTAGACGGGCAGAAACAACTGCTTCCGCCCGAGATACGCGCCTCCATCTTTCCGTGTATTGGCCTGCGCTTTTCTTCGGGGCAGCGCAGTGGACAGTACCGGATTAAGCCAAGCGAGTCTGTTTCTCTCGATTGCGACACCCAAAGGCAGGAAGAGTGAGAACTGCGGTTACTGGAAAGCGCCACTGGATCCCACCCTTCCCAGCATCTTGCGAAAGACAGTTGATTCGAAGGAGTTAAGCGCCCTAGTGACACAGGGCAACGAAGCAAAGGGAGTCTTGCAAATTGTATCTTAGAAAAAGGCACAGTTTGAAACCTTTCCTGGCATGCTAGCCAGCCGATAGGAAATCTACGCGCTCAGTACGAGCACATCAGAGATTGAACACCGCTTTCGTGCGGGCGGCAGCGACCCCTCAGATCGGACTTCCCGAAAAGCCCCACAAGCCTTCGGGATGGCTTTCATTACCCACGTGGCCAAGCACGTGTTTCTTGACTGCACAGTCGTCTTGCGTGCGCCGAAGAGCCTGACGTGTTGTGCGGTTATTTAGTGTAAGAGGGGTGGTTTTGGACGTTTTTGCCTCAAGTAAATCCGGAAATATGTTCGACTTAGATTATGACTGCGTTTAGACCAGGTGAGTGATCGGAACCGAAAACTGTAGGAGTTGTTCGAAAAGATCCACAGGATGGAGGGTCGTTTTAAGTTAAATAGAAAATTGCCCCTTGTGTATCTCTGTTGTCCAGTGATAAATGAATTGTACTGAGATTCTCGGATGAGGGAGGTGGAGACCCCATGATGTGCCAAAATCAGGCTGTGTGGCTTTTAGCTACTTAAGTACTCGATACTCACGCTGCTGTGAGAAAGAACTGCGTGGCAGTTATTCTGAGTAATCCCCACTGCTCCCGAATAAGTATGCATACCGTGGTGTTTTTCATGCTTAATTGTACTTACCGTTGCTGTGCCGGTGGTGCTTTGAGCTCAATTTCTAGCTCATAAAGCTCTTGAAATCATGCAGAATTCCCCAAAACTGCTATTTGCTTTCATCCACTGCTGCAATCCCAATTGGACATGTTTATTTATTTTATTTTATTTATATCCCGCCTATCTGGTCGGTTAAGACCACTCTAGGCGGCTGGATTGGATCCAGTTCTAGCCCTACTGAGAGTAAGAGGGTGACTGCACCAGCTGTTCTGTCTGCTGTATAAACAGACTGGTCTGCTCCTAAAGATGGTGATCAGGTTATATCTTTGTTGGAACGAGTCCTGAGTCCTACAGTCCATGTCAGAGTCTTCTACATTTTTAGTGTGGATAGGATTACTCCATTTTGCTCACACAATACGTGTGAGCCAAAGTGAGCTGTCCTCTTTTAATTTGCCAATATTGTGAAGACAGCTACTTCACATGCTGGTTAAAAGAACTTCCTCTGCTCTGTGGGGATGGGGGGGGCTGAAAAAGTGGGGAAAAATTAGGTGTGTATTAGAGCAATGAATATATACAGTCATAAAATCATAGAATATTTGAGTTGGAAGGGGTCCATAAGTCCATTGAGTCCAACCCCCTGCTCAATGCAGAAATCCAAGTCAAGGTAGGTACACATATCTGAAACATATACCTAATTTGCAATAAACACAGCTAATGTTGTTTTTAAATTTATGCAGTGCATGTTTGTTGTTCTAATACACACTTTAACATTTTGTTCACTTTCTTGGCCCCTCCACAGGGGCCAAGGAATTTGCCAGTATTGTGATGTGACCCTCTTTTTTAAATCACCACATGATATTGGCAAATTGACAGGAAACTGCTGTGGACCAAATAGGGTTGCTTAAGGTCTTTGTGCCTTTTGTATGTGAGGATTACACTGGTAGTCATATCAGACCACTTAGTGACTCTGTTCAGTTTGATCCAGTTTATTCCAGTTGCCATGTGCAGACAAGCCTGAAATCTATGACATTTTCCACTGATTCAGATAGGTCGTCTCAGGATAAGACTAAATCTGAATCTAACCTACCTATCAAGGATGGGAGTTCTTGAACAAGGTATGTTTTACTTCTGTATAACACTACATTAGCTTGTGCTGTTAAACCTTGTTATTTTATATGAAAATCTTTATAAAGTAATTAGGGTTGTTAACCTTAATGTGTAATGTGCTTCTCCCTACTTATTTGCTTCCTAGGTAGTGAATGAGCTGATTCTTCATGTTGAATGGCTACCACATGGACTGATTGCTACTATATGGACTGATATGGCCTGCAGAAGGATAGGAAATCATGGACAGCTTCTGACTTCTATTTCTTCCTCAACTTTGAATTCTTATAAGAGTTCAGCATGTACAAATCAAATACATAGTATATGCATGGTGTCTGACTTTTTTTATCCAAACATGGGAGGAGTAGAAAGCCACATTTACCAACTCTCACAATGCCTGATTGAAAGAGGACATAAGGTTATCATAGTCACTCATGCTTATGAAGACCGGAAAGGCATTCGTTACCTCACCAATGGATTAAAAGTCTATTATTTGCCATTAAAAGTCATGTATAACCAATCTACAGCAACAACTCTCTTCCACAGTCAGCCACTGCTCAGGTATATATTTGTACGGGAAAGAATCAGCATTGTCCATGCACATAGTTCATTTTCTGCAATGGCCCATGATGCGCTGTTCCATGCTAAGACAATGCAGCTACGGACAGTTTTTACAGACCACTCCCTTTTTGGATTTGCTGATGTGAGTTCGGTGCTTACAAATAAACTCTTGACTGTATCACTATGTGATACAAACCACATAATATGTGTTTCTTACACTAGCAAAGAGAACACTGTATTGAGAGCGGCACTGAATCCTCAGATAGTATCTGTTATCCCTAATGCTGTAGATCCTACTGACTTCACTCCAGATGCATCTAGATGGGGCAGCAACACAATAACTGTTGTTGTTGTCAGCAGACTTGTATATAGAAAAGGTAATAAGGTTTAACTCTAATCTTGAGTTTACATGTTGTTTTCACTGAAACATTACGCATCTTTATGTTGGATTTACATTTTAAATAGTTTTAAATTTATAGCACAGTGTAAAGGCTGATTGTATGTCCTTGGATGTAAGTCTTAAGAATCTCTTCAGACATTTGACAGATCTATGGAATCACATGCAACTTTGCAAGGATAAACTTCATTGTAGGGTTTATACATGTAGTATGTGTGACTCCACATGAACATGGTGACTCAAAAGAGCTATCTTGGGATAGCATAGTCATTACAGATAGAGGCTATGGAGTAGGAATGTGCAGTCATTAAATCCCTGAGGCCCCAAATGATGTGGATATATGCACACTTGTGCACAACATCCTGATATATATTGCTCTTTTTTTTTGCTGCGGTTAACAGTCTGAGAGTTAATAGAGGATGACTAAAGAGTTTTACCCGTTGTTTCCCTAAGACATTGTTCTTTGCCCATATTAGAATGATCTGTTTTCTCCCTAACTGATGAAGGGATAGCTGCGTAGTGAGGTGGGATTCTCTACAACTCAATGGACCAAGGTTACATATTTATCTGCTAGATGAATGGTCCTAAGATATGGAGAAGCTTACAACCCCTCCCAAGTTGCAAGTCTGATTGTGTCCCGCAGGGGTGATACAGCAAATTTCAATTCTAAATTGAGCCTCATTACTTGCATACAAGCATACAGATAAATAAACATTTGAATATTCAAGGAACAGGGATGCTCAATTCAGAAATCTAAGAAAAATGCATAAAATAATAAAGGTTTTATTTTCTTATATGCATCTAGGAGACATCTCTCTCCAGCAGCAGCACATCACATGTTTGTGTGCTGAAAATATTTAAACAATTGATCATACAAGTTTATAACATGATTATATGTTATATGAGTACTGGACTGACTGAGGACCCATAATCAAATCCCCACTCTATGAAGTTCATTGGATGATACCTGACTACTTGCTTCTCAGCTGAATTACCTTGCAAGCTTTTGATGATAAAATGTGGTGGAGGTGTGGGAGAAACAAGGTGGCTGAAAATCAATGACTTTTTAAAATCAAACTGATTTAAATCATGATTTAAAACAAAATATTTTTATTTAAATCATCAAAATCCATTTTAAAATTTTTAAATCAATTTGATTTAAATCAAATCCACCCTGAGGAGAAACATGCACCACCTCTTGTAGAAAAAGCAGGATCAAATTCAAATGAACATTGTACTAATTTTTTCCTTGCAGCAGTACAAGTAGACGTTCCATATATACAACTTCTGTCTTCATTTTTGATAAGATTTTTTCCAATACAAGCAGTGCATTACTTTGTTGTTCAGGTTTGGGATAGTAATAATAGTGAATATATGTGTGTACTGTACTTCTTGATGCAATGGATGTTTTGTAGAGCCTTGATGTAGTAGTGGTTTGCTATATTGCAGTGAACTGCTAATGACCTGGTTCAATCCCAGCTGATTCAGGTAACCAGTTCAAGGTTGACTCTGCCTTCCATCCTTCTGAGGTCTGTAAAATGAGTACCCAGCTTGTGGGGGGGATGCATAGCCTGCATAATTAAAAAATTGTAAATCAACCAGAGAGTGCTTTAAGTACTGTGGGGCAGAACACTTTGCTTTTGTAGTTTGGTTTTCCTAGTAGCTATGCTATTTCGCTACTTTTAACACTCTGTTCTGTAAGAATTAATCCTATGCACACTAACATGGATGTTAAATTCCTTTAAACTCAGCTGGACTGAATAAACAAAGAAGGAGCTGAAAGCAGTTGATGTCAGCAACTGTTCAAACCATTCAATCTTCTGTGTTTTTTATAGTAGTTTTTCTACTAATCTTCACTACTGACCAAAGCTTTACGGGCAAGACTTGGCATGGTTCACAAAGAGACACAGGGAAACTGGCTGCATAGCAGCTCTTTTAGAAATGAAGTTTAGTTAACAGCCTGTGTGAAATAGATATTTTGCAGACATATCTTAGGAAAAAGTGTAAACATTTGCAAAAGTACTGAACACAATGAAATGTGAAACAATTTGAAACTTTAGAAGTTTGTTATAGTTTTAAAATCTTATATGTAAAGAATGTATTAATGCTGCTTTGCTATTTTCTTCTAATGCTGATTTATATTTTAGAATGCTTTATATGTAAAATAATGAATTTTAATTTCCCATCAATTATAATTTACTTTAAATATTATGCTTTCAGGTATAGATTTGCTCAGTGGTATAATTCCCGAGCTTTGTCAGAAGTATCCAGATTTAAATTTTTTAGTTGGAGGAGAAGGACCAAAACGGATTGTATTAGAAGAAGTGCGAGAAAGATATCAGCTACATGACAGGTATGTGCTTTTCCCTTAATACAGTTGTGCAAATTGAGCTGGGGTGATAATGGAAATAGGGAATTAGTTGAGAAGAGGATAATAAGCAGCAAATACATATAATTTGCATATTATTTCTATTGTCTTGCCAGGTGCTTTGATACACTTGATAATATGCTACAGTTTTTCTAAAATTTTCTTGTCTAAAGCAGCATTTCGAGTCTGGAAGCTTGGATTAGCTCTTTTAAAAATCTTTGGTTTTAACATTTACTCAGGTGATTTTCTAATTCTCTCTCTCCATTATGTTTTGCATGTGGGTTACTGGATGTGCTGTTATGAGATTTTTGCTGTTCATAATTCAATGTGCAACGGGATGGATCTGGAAGGAGTCCGGATTGTCTCCTAAGCATGCTGGTTGTAGAGAATTTTAGGTTATAAATGAGAGATGAAGCCTTCTTCAGGAGTTTCACTGAAACGTGTTGAGCCAGAGCTTTTTAATGACTCATTTAAAGAAATACAGAATAAAAAAATGTGATTTCTACATTTTGAGACTTCATCTCTCATTTATAATCTGGACTTCCATGGATGTACCAGTTCCTTTTGTTTTGTTTTGTACAGAATTTAAAAATGCTTTTTCAGAACAGCTTTTAAATAGTTCTGTTTCAGTAGTTTAGCCGAGATATGAAATTATCTTTTTTCTTAGACACATATACACCAAAATCCTCTTGCATAGGTACACAAACGACATAGGTTTTGGAGGCAAAACTTATGCCGTCACCAGAGACATCACTGTAGACATTATCAGTTGCATACTGAGTCACACAACTCAGTATGCAGTGGATAATGTCTATGATGATTTCTTAACTTCAGACAGTTTGCCTTTACCGTATGTAAGAAGAGAATCTGGGCCATAATTTTTCAACTGTTGTTTTTTGTTTGCTACCTAATACAGTTATATAGAATTTATAACAAAATATATGTTTTTAACATATATTGTTTGTCTAAATAATTCCAGTGTTAAAAGCACATGAATTAATTATAGAATAGCCATTATATAATATTAACCAGTGGCTCTTTAACCATGACTTTTGAAATATTTAATTGAAAACAGTAACAGTATTAAAAATATTGCCATAAACTATTTTAAAATAATGAATATTAGAAAACCAGTTGAAACATTAGATGGAAGTATGAAATAACATGAACAATAAAGTCAGAAAGCTCTAATGTGAAAGATCTTAATAGATCTATATCAATAATCAGCTGGTTTTCATGCTGTGAGCAGTCTGTGGATAGTAATTGTGGTGAGTTGTCTGTCCTCATCTCAGAGTGCCCTGAAAGCATGGGTGGAGCTGCCACTCTGAGCCCACTGGAAGACAAGGAGTCCATGTGTTGCTGGGAAGTGGGATGAGTGAGAACAGTTGGTTAAAGAGGAGGACATATTAGAAGCATTAAAGGAGCATGGGGGCAAAACACTGAGGTCTGGGTCTGTGAGGGTTGGCAAAGGAAGAAACTTAGAGTCCACAGCAGAATAGCTGGAGCCCATCATCTGCACATTTGGAGAGTCCTGGGAGAAGGATGGCAGCCATTTGCAGGAGTCTGAACTGCTTCCCACCAAGTAGGGGCAAAGACCAGGGAAGAGGTGCCCGCTAACCCATCCCAGGTGGAGTACCAGGCCCACAGACTCCATGGTGGCCAAGATGGCTGAAACCTCTGGAAGCATCCATTTCCACTCAACTGAGATGTTGATGGGGCCAGTGCAGGAGAGGAAGGAGGCTTTTATATGCATTATACATATATGAATCAAATGTAATAGTAATTATCTGTTATTTCATCCTGGTGCCTTAATCCCTTCTCTGTTCTTCTAGCCATTTATAGAACAAATTCCACGTTTTAAAGTATTCTGAATCTTCTTTCACCTTCATCCTCAGTGTAAGTCTGTCCATTTCTGCAGATCTTCTTGGTTATCTTCATTTGGTACCTCTTCATTTTTCCTTGTGCAAAATATAATCCTAGTGCTGTCAAAACATGCAGTGTTAGATATACATTTTGTCTGTCAAAGTCCTCTGGTAAAATACGTAATAAGAACAATTCTGGTTCAAAGTCTATATGTTTTTAAGCATTTTAACCAGCCACATGTGTATTTTAGTTCAATTTTTTTAGCTTTTTCACAAGTCCACCATACATGATAACAGGTACCCACTTTTTGATCACATTTCCAACATTTACTAGACATACTGTATTAGGAAACATTTTTGCTAATCTAGCAGGTGGTAAATGCCATCTGTAGAACCTTTTATATAGATTCTCTTTATACAATGTCTCCATTGTTATTTTACAATTTCTGTTCCATAGTTTCTGCCATTTCTCTAGCTCAATATGGTACCCCAAATGTTTAGCCAACTGCACCATTGTTTCTTTCATCTGTTCATCTTCCATTTTCCATTTTAAAAGAAGTTTATATAATTTCTTAATTAACTTTTCATCTGATGCTAACAATATTTGGTCAAGCATTGTTCTTTATATATAAAAGCCATATATTTTTACATCTTTTCCATACCTAGATTTGATTTGCATTAAGGGCTCCAATGATATGACTGTACCCTGGTCTGTAAGATCTTTTTTCGGTTTTAATTTCCTTTCTGAATCTAAAATATCCTTATAACATAAGTGTGATCGTGTTCATGTTTTGGTGACGGTTCCCTCATTTTGGCGGGAATAAGAGACGGAGGCAACTTTAAAAATTCAATTGATCCAACTTTATTAACTTCAACATCCAGATTAACTAAATTAAATGAGTCTAAGCAACTTCATTCCGGCAACGTTTTGTAATTCAAAACCTTTGTCCCAGGAGTTAATATCTCACTCCTCACATTGGGGCTGGACCAAACTGCTCTCGATCAGTCATTCCTATCAATGTGGTACTCCTGATCGTGCATACCTTTCCACAACAGGGGTTTCTCAGCTAGTCCCCTTCCAGAGGTGGAACATTGTAGGAGGGACTGGGACAAATCACTTTCCTCCCCCCACCTTGGTTCCGGGGGTAAACTACCACAGTCCATTCTAGGAGAGCTGTTCCTTTCTTCTCCACCTTGGGTAGATCTGGATCTGGCAGCAATCCTCTGCCTATCTTCAAATTGGGGAAGTCTTTTAAGAGATTACAGACCTTAACTGAAGCTTCTTCTCTTTCGGTCTGTGTTCCAAAATCTCTCATCTCTCTCCTTATCTGCTCCATTTGAATACTGAATTCCCGCGTATCACCTCCTTCTTTTATTACCTTTCTGTCATCTATTCTTCTTCTATATTTATAAGTATCCCTTCTACACATCCACAAACGTCCTCCTGCACATTTTGGATGGAGGACGGCTCACTAACTCTCTCACACAATAAGGTTTCCTCAAAATTCAAGAGGTTTGGGTGGATAAATGCTTCCATAGGTGAAAGCCACCTTGGTATTTTTGTGTACATTATTTTTATCTTTTCCTATGTTACCAATAGAGAGTTTCTGATATAATGATTTTGAAAATATCTATGGCTTTTTGCTTTCTCATGCTATAGAAAGGCATGCCAGCCCAATTGTAGGTCATGTCTTTCTAAGTAAAGCAGCCTTTTATTCCACAATGTGATCCATTCTTTAAGACACATTAAAATACATGCTTGACAGTATAATTCCCAGTCTGGTAATCCAGAGCCTACTTTTTCTTTAGATTTTTGTAGCATTTTCAATTTAATTCTAGCTTCCTTCCATTGCCAAATGAACGTTGAACTCAGCTTATTGAAATACTCAGAGTATTTCTTTTCTATTTTAATTGCCACTGTTTGAAAGAAAAAGAGTAATTTTGGTAGAATGTGCATTTTAATTGTCACAATCCTTCCTGCAACCTAGCTGCAGGTTTTTCCATTTTTCCAAGTCCACTTTTATTTGTTTAAATAGTTTTATGTAGTTGTCTTCCGTAATGGTTGCACATCTTGCAGTTAGGTATATTCCCAAATATTTGACCTTTTTGGCTATTTGTAAGTTTGACATCTCTGATAGCTGGCTTTTTTGATTGGCTTTGATTTTTAACTAGAACTTTCATTTTTTGCTTGTTTATTTTCAATCCTGCTACTTCCCCAAATTCCTCAATTTTTCCTAGTAATTTCATCATTGTTTCCAGTGGATCTTCTAATATGAATTCCAAATCATCACCTTTTATTTTTGCTCCTTTAAATTCTGGATCTTGCCTTACATTTCTGTTAAGCACTTCTAGAGTCAATATAAACAACAAGGGGGAGAGAAGACATTCTTGTCTTGTGCCTTTTTTAGTATTGATATCATCGGTCCGTTCACCATTTACACATTTACAATTATTTTTGTTGTTTGTTTATTGTAGATTGTCTTAATTACATTTATGAATTTCTCGCCAAGCTCCATTGAACTTAATTGCTCTATCATAAGTTGCCAACTGATGTTGTCAAATGCTTTTTAGGCATTTACAAATAATAGTGCCATTTGCTTCTCTGCTTTTGCTTCATAGTATTCCAGTATATCCAAAATTATCCTTAGATTGTGTCTTAATTGTCTTTTTGGTAAGTACTCATTTTGATCTGGATGAATACATTCCATCAAAAAAATTTAAGTCTGCCATTATTGCTGTGAACATTTTATAATCTGCATTTAATAGTGATATTGGTCTGTAGTTTTTTGTGTCAGATCTGTATTTTCTTTTGGTATTAATGTGATATTTGCCTCTAAACATGTTTTTGGTATTTCAGCTTCTGTTAATACTTCATTGCAGACTTCTTTCATTGGTAGGCTTAATAAATATTGGAATGATTTATAAAATTCTGCTGATACTCCATCTGGTCCTGGAGTTGTATAATTTTTTTGTTTTTTAGTGTGTGAGGGTTCAAAGCGTGGCTCTTCATTTGCTCCAAATAAATCACCGGATTTCTTGGTTTTTGCAATAGGGGTAACAGTTATTGGATTATTTAATAACAGTCCTGTATCTACAAACGTATTCCAAGCTTCCTCTCCATCA